GAAGAGAATTATTTCTGTTTATGTTGATGTTTTTAATGATATTCTTCTCTTTCATTTGTTTATTTTATCAATTATTCCATTCAAAAATCTGGTCTTGTTCAAGTTTATTACGAACATCAGCGATGCTTTTCGAAAAGAGTTTATTAAAATTTGATGTCAAGAATTTTTATACATCAAATGAAATTCTTGGACGAATAAGTTTTACTTTATTCATCGTTTTTGTTGTATTTATCTGTATGAATATGTTCATTTCAATCATCGTCGATAGTTTTCGTCTCATTCAACATCAAGTTAATTTTATTTCGAATGAAAATGATGAAATCTTCATTTATATGAAGAAAAAACTTTCCTATTGGATGGGTTTTCGTCGACGAGAAGAACGTGTACATAAGAAACTCCAATATTCCAATTCAATCGAATATTTTCCAGTTGTAATCGATCGATTAATGGATACGATTACTCGAGTAAGAATTCGATTTCATTAACAAATCCTCGACAATGAATATTTATATCTTTTAGATCTCTTCAGATTATTGAAGAAAATTCATTTCATCGCGCAAAACGAACATGTAATAAGTTTGTTGATTTACTTTCGAAAAACCAGCCGGATCAATGTATAAGAATAAAAACGTGTCTATGTCGGAAAATCGAAATGATAATAATGAAGATTTGAGTGATTAACATATAAAACAAATGATTTTTTAAATCACCTAAATGTCGAGCATGACGAATATTTCTCATTGTTAATAAACCAAATCAATTCATCAGAAGCGAAGGACATAGTCAATACCAGAACATATGTTCGATAGAAACCCTTTTGCTCACGAGATATTCGAATAATATTATCTGATGGATCGAAATCAATCATGATTTCATAGAAAATAATCTCATAAATCATGTTGATGAGAGAAAGTAGAGTGAATAAATTTCATGACGAAGAATCGGACGAACGAAGATGTAAAGATTGAATATGAAGAGAAATTATGAAAACGATTTTGAGTGAGATTTGATTGAGTCCATTAACGATAATTTCTGTGGTGTTTATAACATTGTATTTAGAAAATAGAGATGAGTAGACGTGTTGTTGCACTCAATGACAGATTTTCACAGTTCACATCGAATCTTTGTTATTTAGCAAAAGTTCTTCTATCGAATTGATTTTCATACTGATTATTTATTCTTGAAATCAAAATCTAGAAAATGTTCTTTACGCACACGTTGATGTGATCGAAGGCATTTGTGAATGTGGTGTGAAACTATTCATTTGCTGTTGTTGTTGTAAAGGGAATGCAGCCGTAGCAGCTGCCTGAGCTTCATTTCTTGCTTTACGAATTCGTATGTGTACACATCGAAGGATTATCAATACGATTGTAATAACCAATGAAATTGGAAGAAGAATATACATCAGTAATGTATAATTGAATACAACACCACCAGATGATGGTTTTTTAGTTGTCAAAGTTCTTCTTGATGTCGTCGAAATATTCATTGAACCAATTGTTTGTCCGGATACAAATAGAATTGCATGTTGTAATAGAAAACGAAAGAGCATTGGTTTGGTAATTGTCGTCATAACAAGAAATGCGTATTGTTTGAACTAAACAACTTTTCTTTTCTTTTCTTTTTTTAAAATGAACTCCATCACACAGAATATCAACTTGCAAATGTTTGATACTCAAAAACACACGTGATGACTCATCGGACGTTTTCTTATCATTCTTTTTTTCTCTTCTAACACGATCTATACGTATCATTTCTAATCATTGTCGAAACGGCATGATACACTTTTTTGGCTTTCCCTTCTACCACTGTGTCTCTCAATAGGAAGCTTTTTATTGCTAAATTCGGCATTAGTTGGTTACATTGCAGAACGACGTGTTATTCGAATTAAATGATAATGATCATTAAGATGTGTAATGAAGCTATTTACCCATGGCCATTGACGCTCATGGACCAGCGACCTTTATGGATGGCAAACAAAAGCAGAGATATATTTTAAAATGATGATGGTGATGTAACAGTTTCATGTTATTACAATCGAGTGAAGCCAGGTGTTTTCAGATGGAACAAACTAGATAAAAGAAAGTTTTGAATAGAAATTCTCTTTGCTACGACGATTTTTGCATCGAGGATTATTTTATGAATTGTTTAGTTTAAGTTAAAAAAGAACTCTAAGGAGAAGGTTTGTGTCAGGCTAAGATTATTGGTTATAACAATCGGCAAATTAAAAGTTTTTTTTCTATGCGTCAGTGGATTTGATGATCTACAGCGTCGTGATCGGTTGCTCTTGCTGCTGGGAGACGACGAAGTATCTTTCTTTGAAATAAATGAATCAATTCTCGACGAAAGATTTCCGAGGAGACGAGAAAATTCGTCAATGTCAAGGAAAATCCCAGATAAACTAAAAGATACGTCATGTTGCTCACAAATATCTCAGTCGCACGACAAAATGAAGATCTAACCACTTGTAATGTCATTGAACGATATATAAGAAAACAAGGATTTGGCAGATTAAGAATTAGATATAGGACGATTTGATTAGCCAACATTCGATGTAATTGAACATCTTTCTTCGATATTCTACCCCTTCGATTTCCACCAATTCTCATCTTTGTTTTATGAATATTTCGCACTGTTAATAAACCGAAGATCAACATCAAGAGTAACGGAAGAATACCACTATCGATGGCGATGTAAATGCTAAAGAAAATTCCATAACCACTTGATCTATAGCTACAACTACCTGTATTGGTCTCATAAAATACGAGAACTTGAATGTAGATTAGAGACCAGAAGAGAACATTGGCGATAATCAGTCGGAGAGCAGTTTTCGGTGAACTCCATCGACGTCGTAGAGCATTTCGTGAACTGGCAAAATAACGATCAATCGATGCCAAGATGATATAATAACGAGGAACAGCCACGAAAATATAAAAGAGATAAAAGCGAATTTTGCAATACCAAAGATTATAATTGAGAGTGCGAATGTCATATCCATAGTGCAACATACGAGTGAATAAGGCAAAATTATAAGTGAAAAACTGCGAAAGACTAGCAGCGAAGAAAAACATTGCACATGGAGTGTTTCAGTAAGTTGGTTGAGTAAAAATAATACACATGAGAATCGAACCAATATTTCCAACAAACCAAATGACGCTGCTACCATATTGAGTAATAGTTTTGTTTAAATTATTGACCATGTCAATAAGTTCAATTTGATCATCGATAGCAAGAGTAACAGTACTGTTTGTAATTATATTCGACATAATTTAAAAGATCCTGAAGAAGATAGAACATATTTTAATGCGTGTGTAGGTAAATGATACCCAAGATGACATACTTATGACTTACTGAATACACACAACGTTTAATTGAATGTTAAGAGAGTTGTCACAGACAAATCTACACAATATAATAACGGATGAAATATTCTTTTCTCACTATTAACTTAATATGAGAGACTTTCTCAGAACATTAAGCTCGTCTTTTATCCGTGATCTATTATCCTCAGCTCAACATTGCGTATCTCATCTAACGCTGCTTCGTCTTCTATCGACCTCTAAATGAGTTTCTTTGCAGTTCGAATTAATGACATCATTTCCGGTTGCAAAATTTGTGTGATCAATTGTTCCATTTAGACACGATTTCATGCAGATATGTATACTTTACATTTAATGAGCATTACACGACATTGCGAACGTACCAATGAGCTCATAACGAGCGTATAGAAGACATAAGATAGTTTATTTCTATTCTAAATGGATTTTACCATAATTATGCATAAATAATCCATTTAATGGAATGAAAAAAAAATGAAGTGAACAGATGAATTCTTTTGTATCCTCAGTCCACGTGAGAATTTCTATTATATCATTAAGGGAAAATGTTCCGTCAGACGTCAGTATTATATCTCCTTCGAAATTATCACTTAAACCATTTCGTCGTTATTTGTATCTGTTAACCGATCCAATAGATTCCAACTCTTATGTCTATGATTTCTGTGAGATTTTCTCGACAAAATACATTTCACTACAGCAGTCGTATAACTTCATTAAGTTTCGTCAAATTTATTTTCTAGACGAATATAAAACATCGCAATGAATAACACCAACGTCCTCTCCAATGGTGATCACCTCGTTTCACTTATCAATTTTCTCAACAAAACCATCTCAGAAATTGGTTTTGCCTTTATTCTCTTGCTTGGAAATATTGGTTCGATTCTCATGTGTATTATTTTTACTCAACCAACTTACCGAAACACTCCATGTGCAATGTTTTTCTTCGCTGCTAGTCTTTCGCAGTTTTTCACTTATAATTTTGCCTTATTCACTCGTATGTTGCACTATGGATATGACATTCGCACTCTCAATTATAATCTTTGGTATTGCAAAATTCGCTTTTATCTCTTTTATATTTTCGTGGCTGTTCCTCGTTATTATATCATCTTGGCATCGATTGATCGTTATTTTGCCAGTTCACGAAATGCTCTACGACGTCGATGGAGTTCACCGAAAACTGCTCTCCGACTGATTATCGCCAATGTTCTCTTCTGGTCTCTAATCTACATTCAAGTTCTCGTATTTTATGAGACCAATACAGGTAGTTGTAGCTATAGATCAAGTGGTTATGGAATTTTCTTTAGCATTTACATCGCCATCGACAGTGGTATTCTCCCGTTACTCTTGATGTTGATCTTCGGTTTATTAACAGTGCGAAATATTCATAAAACGAAGATGAGAATTGGTGGAAATCAAAGGGGCAGAATATCGAAGAAAGATGTTCAATTACATCGAATGTTGGCTAATCAAATCGTCTTATATCTAATTCTCAATCTGCCAAATCCTTGTTTTCTTGTATATTATTCATTTGCTTTGAATATGTCGAAATCAGCAGTTCAAATTGCAGCAGAATCATGGGCGAGTAACATGACGTATCTTTTAGTTTATCTGGGATTTTCTTTAACATTCGTGAATTTCATGATTTCATCGGATATATTTCGACAAGAATTTTTCTGTTTATTTCAAAGAAAAATACTCCGTCGTCGGATCGTTATGAATAGAACTGTTGGCCAATCAACGGTGTTGCAAACGGCTGCTCAAAATGACACTAATGTTTAGAACTGTTCGACACGCTCATAAGTAGATGTTTAGCTTTAACTCTTCGCGTTGAATAATCACTGAATGAAAATGGAAACCTGGAGGTGTTTCATATTCTCACTCGCTTATGGCTTTATTTGTTGTCAGTATGAAAAAGAATAATCAATAAGCTTTTTTCATCTATTTGTTCACAAAAGAATATTTTCTGTCTATTATTTCGATGTTGTAATTTCTTGGACAAATTCTTATTCAATCGGATGATTCCGAGTGTTTGGTAAATATTGCCAAACATCTTCCGTTGCTTATTAAACTATTCTAGAAAGTGGATTTAATGACATTTCTATGACTTCAATTAATCAGAAATGTTTTTGAAACTGAACTCAGTTTGTTTAGGTGGAGTTTGTATAGTTGACGCTAAACAGAAACGAAACTAAATATGAATATCAGCCATTGTTTATGATCATCTTGTAAGAAATATTCTCTTATATACAACATGGATGTCAACTTAAATGTTGATTAGAATTTGATTCTTTTTCATTTGATTGAGATTCATTTCGTCTAAAACTTCGTTTTGTTTTAACGATCAGATTGTTTTCTTTTCTTATTGGAAATCATTTAACTCTTCCTTTCTCAACCTTCTAAAAATGCAATACTTTGTCAATAAAAATCAAAGAGACGAACGACAGTTAAAAGAAGCCAAACAACAGGGAAGGTTTTCATTGGGCAAAATCTATACCGTTTGGTTTTATTATTAAAAATAGTCGAGTATCCATAAATTCATTCTTATGTGTTGTTATTTACTTTTCATCGAGTTCAGAGAATAAAATCAACCACAATATATTTATATAGAACTCTTATCGCTTTCCCTTTCTTCACTTGAAACGAATGTGAATGAAAATGCACGTAGTGCTGTTCATTTCTCTTCTTATCTCAACAATCAATGGTCTTATCATCAGTCAAATTCGTCGATCTTCTCTCTTTATCACCAATTCTTCTTGTGCTTTGGTTTTGAACGTCACTTTACCAGTTGGTTCATCGATTCAAACTTGTATTTGGAAATGTAATCATGAAGATCAATGTCAAACAGGTGTTTATTATCATGAAAATCGAACTTGTTTGCTATTTAGCGAAGATTGTCAATCAGGTAAAATAACATCATCCGGAAATGTTCAAACGAGTGTTATTTGTCATCGAAGAAATCAAGGTTAGTTTTAGAGTATTGTGATGATATTTTCATCATTGGTATACTTTCTCTTTAGGATCGAATAATCAATGTTCTCGTCGAAGTAAGTAAACTGAAAATGATCTCATAAGTGCGAAAGCGTCTGATTTATATCGATAAACATTACAGATCAACAAAGTAAATGTGACATTCAGCGTATATACCATTATTAGACGTCATTTCAATCATTTCACTATAGAGAAAATTATGATAAAACATCTGCAAACAGCTTGAACTTTTAATTAACTTCAATTTGTTTTTTTTTTACGTGAAATTGTTTGTCTTATTTGGAAATTTTATTTAGACTGGACAATGACTGGAAATATGAATATTAGGCGACATAGGCATACAGCATCGATGTTATCAAATGGAAGGATATTAGTCACTGGTGGGCTGAATGTTAACACTAATCTGAACAGTGCTGAACTATATGATCCGTCAGCTGGTAATTGGACAATGACTGGAAATATGAATGTTGCCCGGTATGCTCATACAACAACTGTGCTACCGAATGGGAAAGTATTAGTGACTGGTGGGCTTAATGCCGGTCCTCTCAAAAGTGCTGAACTATATGATCCGTTAACCGGTAACTGGACAACGACTGGAAATATGAATGTTGCACGACAAGATCACACAACATCAGTGTTATCAAATGGAAAAGTATTAGTTAGCGGTGGATGGGGTGCTGGGGGTGCTCAGAACAGTGCTGAGTTGTATGATCCATCAAGCGGTACCTGGACAATGATTGCAAATATGAGCATTGGACGTCAATTTGCCACAGCATCGATTCTAGCAAATCGAACAGTAATTGTCCTTGGTGGATGGACTGGTGCTACTTATTTGAATAGTGCTGAATTATACGACCCATTAATAGGTAATTGGACGCTGACTGGAAGTATGAATGATGTCCGAAAAGATCATACAGCCTCAATATTATCAAACGGCAAAGTATTAATTACCGGTGGATTAAGTAACAATTATCTCAAGAGTGTTGAATTATATGACCTATCAACTGGAAATTGGACAACAACTGCAAATATGAATATTGAACGTTCTCAACACACTGCATCGATACTTGCCAATGGAAAAATATTAGTTGCCGGTGGTTACAATGGTAGCAGTTCTATCAACACCGCTGAATTATATTAAGATATTTGAAGGAAAAAGTTTTTTTTTTCTGAACTAAAATGCATAAATTTATATAACAAAAGTAAAGTTCTTTAAAACCGATGAATTCATGTTATTTTCAAGTGTGATTATAGCATGAATGATAAAGACATGTGATATACATGTCATTTCATACTGTTCAATTATCCAGAATCTGATCAAGGTTGAAAGACCGAAGGATCAGCATAAGTAGAAAATGAAATGATTCATAATTGTGAGAGATTATACCTATGGAAACATATCAGAAACTGAAATAGTTATAACGGTTATCTGATTCACCCAGATGTTTCTGAATGGCAAATCGAATCGCATTACTTGTTGTTCTAATGATTCCGAATACAATTCATCTTGGTCGTAGCTCATTCACTTTCTACCATGGTCAATCAATTCTTCGACATAGAGTAGAATCTTTTGTTTAGATTTCACTCTGCTGGGTTTTTCACTTCGAAAAACAGGATAAAAGAGGAAGGAGAATGTATTGATACTGTTCTGCTTGAGTATTGTCAATAAATTTATTAAAAAATAAACTAAAAATATTTAATCGATATTTTTATAAAGAAATGCATTTTGTCGTTTCTGCATTTGATAATCAAAACCAATCGTCGGTGTCATTTGCGCAATTTCGTTCAAAACACTTTGAACGAATTCTGTTGTCGTCGCTGATCCTCCGATATCCGGCGTTTTCAATTTCCGTTCTTGAATTGTCGTTAAAACCGCTTTCTTTATAACCGAACAATGCTCATCCAGACTACAACGAACTGTTCTTATCACTAACTGAATAAAAAGTGTCTTTACCCTAAGAATTTCAGCATATTTGCTGCAGCGAAGAGCATCCCCGAAGGATTTGCGATGTTTTTTCCTGCAATACCAATTCCTGTATTTCGCGTTCCTTGTTCGAAAATCGCATAACGATCGCCATAGTTTGATCCAGCAACAAAACCTGAGCCTCCGACAAGTCCCGCACAGACATTTGCTACAATATTTCCATATAAATTCGGCATAACCATCACATCGAATTGAGTCGGACGATTGACCAACTGCATACAAGTATTGTCAACAATCATGGTGTCAAATTTGATATCGGAATATTCCGCTGCGACTTCGCGACAGCAATCGATGAACAATCCATCGCTTAGTTTCCTTTACAACGAGAATACAATAGACAGAACGTATATGAAGAAAGATTTACATGATGTTTGCTTTGTGAATTGCCGTGACCTTCTTTCGATCATGATGTTTGGCGAGTTCGAAAGCAAAACGGGCTATTTTCACAGACTTTGCTCGAGTTATAACTATCAAAATCAAAAACAACTTACATAATGAATATGCGAATTTTCAAATTACTTTTTAAACTTTCAACAACACCGGGTACAGACTAAGATGAAAAATAAAAACTGACTGAGTGATGCATCAAGCGATTAGACATACTTCATGTTCAAGTGAACTATATTCTCCTTCAGTATTCTCGCGTACCACAAGAATATCAATGTCAGAATGACGCGTAGGTACCACCGGGCTTGTTTTACATCGAATAACATTCGCATAAAGATCCAAACGAGTTCTGCAATAACAAATCTGAGAAAAAAATGTTTTCTCTTAAAAAAAATCTTACCGAAGAAGAACATTGAGCGATCTAGATAAATTTTGTGATGAAATATTTCCTAAAATGTCTCATTCTACATCATTTTATTCACGAATACGAATACCTTTAAGTGCCACTCCGTTCCGTCGAACAGCAGTAATTGCTTGTTCGAATAACTCATCACTTGCGACATTGCTCGACAGTGGAATATCTTCGAAATCAATCGGTGCTCGGACACATCTACTTAAAATTGTCAAACGTTCGATAACATTTTCATTCAATTAACCTTATCGCTGCTTTGACATGTTCCATCAGTTCAGGTCCGACCCCATCACCGTGAATCAATGTTATGGTGTATTTACCTCCATACGCTGTTCGCCATGGTGTGCTCAGCTAAAATGAAATCAAAAGGATAGAGAGTCGAAGATCAGAGAGGAAATATTTACATTGGTTGATAAACATCGATGAAGGGAAAGGAAAACATTCCGGGTACTAATTCTAAGGATTGATTTCATGGTTTTGTTATTCGAATGAGAAATTAATTAAGTTTTTCTCAAAATAGAACAAGCTGTCAACACTATTAATCTATTTGATAACAAATCAGAGTTATAGAAAAGTACCGCGATAGATGACGCTAGTTAGTTACATTGTATTATTGAAAAAAGGAAAAATATTTTGAAAAAGAAATTCTTTATTGAGTTCGTGTGTCACATCTTGATGTTTGACGTGTGAAACAAGTTCGCAATCCGATTAAATTTTCGGTGAATTGTCTCGAATTATTCCATGTTTCAATTTCTAAGGAATTTTTCATATAACCCATAAATAAACCGGATTGTCTTGGCATAACAACTTCATCTAGGTCTGAATAAGTCATGACAAATGAATTTAATTTGAGGATATTTTCACGATAGATTCCATTCGGAGTACCTCGTTCATTATTGATATCAGGAAGATAATGACAATTCGAATAGTATCGATCTAATTGCTCAGGATCGCGCCAGTAATTCGCTGGACTAATCGCGTTTTGTATTGCCGTTTCATACGCGTATTTTGTTAGTAAATCTCGAAGTTCGATTGGTAATTGCAGAAGATAAGGAACACCGAAAACACCTTGATGAATACCACTTAGAGTTATGAGATTATAGACAGGCAACGAACAACGTTCAACAGCACCACGAGCGATGATACTACCTTGAGAATAACCGAGAAGATTGAAACCTTCACGAAGTCGTGGATTCGAATTGATTGATTCACAAAATTTTTCAACTTGAACATCTAATGGAAGAAGATATGAATCGACTTTTCCATTTCCGATTTCGATTGAAACAACATAGATATCGGGATAAAGAGAACGAACCCATCGAGCGATATCGTCCATGGCAGAAGCTGTTGAGGTGATACTGTGCATTAAGACAACTGGACGATAAGTTAAACAGAATACAAATGGAATTTGGATGAGAAAAAGACAACTAAAAGAAGATTACCAACCATTCTTATTTCTCTTTTATGAGAAAAATATCGATTTTTTTACTTGGATTTTAAGTCAATCGATTAGCAAATAACATATGATATGTACTCTCACAATTATTAATGGAAAATAGGACAACATTTTAGTTTTTAAGCAGATTTTCATCTGAATATTTTCTGTATTCATTTTATGTCTCAAAAAATTATTGTTTATCTGAGCGAATTTTTCCGATTTCTGTGAACGTTAAATATGCAAATGTTTTGGAAGCTTTCTCTTCATACCCTCAGCTTCTTTGATTGTTTAAACGATCTTTATCACCAATCAGTTCTACAGAAACATTCTAATTGTTTCCTTTGAAATGTTTTCCAATTTCATTCTACAATCGCTCTTAGAAACTGAAATCGGGATCGAGAGCAACAATTCATGATCAACAAAGATGAAACCAAGAGTTCTGAGCTGATGAAATCGATTCTTCATTTCCTCGAAATAA